CGTGCTTTTTTGTTGTTCGATCCAAGTCCAAGTTGATACATGATGAAAAGGAAGTACTAGCACTAATCTTAGAAGTAAATCTCATTGCATTTAATATTAAGAGTAAAGATCGAATGGTGTAGACCGCGAATGATTTTTCTGTACCATCTGCTGAGCTGAAGCCAGAAGTGGTGTAGTCCCTGTTGATTCCCATCAGGTCGTGAGCTTGGTGGTCGATACTTTTTCAACTTCGAGACCGGCCAACATCAGTTAATCCGGTGCATAAACATTGTATTGTATTTCGCATAGGGATGCTTCCATTATATCATATTTCGTTATTAATATCTTCTGACTGACTGGTCTCGGGAGCAGGTATAGGGTACTTTTATTCACCGTCGCTCGCGGGACAAACGAAGCCGGCAGACAGAGAAAGAAAATGCTGACAGGCCTAGATATTTTTGTATACCGGTTTTCTATCATTTTTTTATAAAATAAATAAATCGAAATATCATAATGTTATTTTTGAAATGACGATTCCAATGAATACTAGACCGTTATAGGAGAGTATCAGATTCAACTCTGCATCATCGTGTGTGATCATTCAGGGAGAAATTTAATTGTTAATAATTGAAATACGGGTAATTACCCATGTTGAAGAGAATGTAGTAAAAAGCTTACCAAGTACAAGTATTTTCATGAAGTTTTTACGGTTGGCAGGTTTATGTCTCTTGATGCGCCATATGAGTACAACTGTTGAGCGATTTAATGCTCACTTCGGAAAGACCGTTTAAAAGAGAAAAACGGGAAAAATGAAAGAGAAAAAAAGAGAGATAGAGAGAGGCATAAAGATCCGTTCATACATATTTTCTATATAATCCTGTGGTCGCGAAACAGCTGTAGGCATTGTTTATCGTTTTACGTGATTGTTAAAACGAAGAGCATGTTTTCATATACTCAAGTAATCCAATGCATTCCTGACATTTTTTCCTTCTTTTTTCTCAATTATTTAGTCCATTATTTCTTTAATTTTTTCCTATTTTTCTGCTCTAATAAACAGAAATATTTAGACTGAGATATTGGTCTACATTTAGCTCACCCAACTTATAATAAATCCAATTCTTCTGCCAATAATGAATTTATAAAAATTAATAATCAACTCAAATATCAAAAGATAATTGAATAAATAAATTCTACTTAATTTTTATTGTTAAAAATAATTGCAATAAGAGTAGATTTTCTAAAGGACAAAAAATAAGATTGTTAATGTTGTGCAAAGTAATAAATATTTAAATAAAAAAATTAACAGTTTAATAAATGTTTTAAAAATTATTGGTTACAAAAATTAGGTCACTAAAAAAAAAATTCGCCAGCTTTAGGAGTTTTGTAAATGGAGTATATCTCCGTTAAAATCACTCCAAAATAATAAAAAGAAACCTATTGTTACAAATTTAGGCAATGAAATTTAATAAAAGACTTTATTGTTTGAAAGTCGTAACTAAACGATGCATTGACGTCTTCATTAGTTCTGTAACTCTTTGAAAATAAAAAAGCAAAAACTAACGAAAATTTTGGCCTGTTCTGATTTACGAACAAAAATTAGGATGTTAAAAAGAAAAGAAAGGAGTAGTTGGTATAGTGTAGTGGCAGTAAAACCATAACAGTGTTACCAAAATGAAGAGGTTTAATGCGCGAACGCATGGGCCGCGTTGCCTGTTTTATTTTACCGGCACTCTCGTAAAAACAATCAAGCGGCGCGCCAGTCCAACACACTAAACCTTGATGGAGGATAAAAACTGTGAGTTTAACTTGGTAGTTGAGACCCTCCATACAATTGTTAATTTTTTCGTGAACCACAAGTGTTATAACTTATAAATCATCACGCGATGTGTATGTAAAAATTTTTATTTTATCAAAATCGCAGAACTTTTATAAACGTCCACCAGAAAATTATTTATTATCAACATGGTTTTTAAATATGAGTCAATTAAGTTATTTTATAGATTTTATTTGAGTATGACAGTCAAAATGAAATATTATTTTTTTTTTTTTAATTTATTTTTTAAAGATGCTTAAAACGATTCCATTTAATACAAATAAATTTGAATACTTTTTCAACAATAAAACGCAGTGAAATAATTAATTTACTGTATTCTAAAAGAGAGAGAGGAATTTAAAAAAAGGTATATATTATAAATAAATCAACTAAAAAAAATGAATAAGAATTTTTTTTCATTTTTAAATAAAAAGAAAAAATGAAAAAATATTTTTTGATATTTTTTTTTTCAACGGTTTTATCATGAAAAAATTACTTCAATCACTCTAATGTAATATAAAAAAATGTATTAAATAAATCCACTACTTGAATAGTTTTCCAATTTGTTAATTACTCTAGGGAGACATGATAAACACGCGGGTTGACCGCAATTTCGTGACTCAAGCGCATCGCGGTTTGCCAAATTGCTCAGCTCCTACTGTTTCACCACAACAACTCACCCTCAGTGGCCTCCAACCACAAATCCCTCAATTGTAGTAATAAACAATCGAAAGTTAACATATGACTAAACAGATTAACCCTCATAGCATCTAGTGAGTTTACTAAAAAAAAATTATTAATAACAACTCTAATAAATATTATTAGATGTGTCATGCAAGGATTATATCAGCCTAATGAATTTATTTATAAGTCCATCATAAAATTGGATAGCATGTTGATGCATCTAACTATTTACCCTCATATCATTCCCTCGGCTTGTTTGACTACGGAAATAATATTTGGTGCCTTTACTGCCAGTTCAGCCAATAAAAAGCGCACTCGATTTTGATATAAACTGAGAGAGCGTGTCAACCATGAGGCATATTCGCGTGCGTGTGTCGAATCGATTCTTTCATGTTTACACGGTGCGCGTGAATCGTCCGACCTCGAAATAACCGGCTCTTAACTCACCCCCTCTTCTCCCTCTCTTACATACGCACTGTTGATTTTTTCCCGCGCTACTTTATTTGATATTTATAATCCTATAAGTGACTTATTGACAACTAACATAATTCCTCATATTTTATTTAGCCGCTTGCTCTATTATTGATCACTAGAAATACATAAAAAGTAGCAGTTTTTTTTTTTAGAAAGGTATTATTTACTAAAGTAGAGTAAAAAGTTCATGACTACATAAATGTATAAAATTCGATTGTTATAAAAGCCAGTGGCTAATGTAGTATGTATGAATTTAAAGGGGGAAATGTAGCTCTACTCTATGTAATTTTAAGCATACATGACATCTATTCAAACAGTGAACTTGGACTTGATATTTATTCTTTCGTAAAATATTCAAATAATATTTATCTTTTAGTAATTAATTTTTTTTGTGTACATAAAAACGTACTTGATTTAGTTGCAAAACAATTATAAAATTGTGAATTATTTACAGATTTGATATTTTAAAATAATTATTAAGGAAAGGATATGTGCAAATTAATAATGATATCAGTACATTTTATAGAAAGTTGATAGTTTGTATAATTTATGCATACTTCACAGCTATCATTACAGATGGAAACTTGTGAACTAAGATAACATTCCATTAATGTTAATGAATTTTATTTTTTACAATTAAAATATAAGTGAAATTCCTAGATGCCAATAGATCATATCTAAATAGATATTTTACATGTGGTTGAAAAAATTTTAAAAAAGTATTATGTAGAAAAATGAATAAATCTAACAGTTGTAATTGGAGATAGTAAGTTAAATTGGAATAAAATGAAATAGCTAATGAGAATTCCACATTTATTTGCACGAAAATAATAATAATAATTATTATTTCAGTAACATTATTTCAATGTTCCGGCATTGTTTAAATATTTACCTCAATGTATTTCCGTTCTACTCACATTGCATAAGAGAAATTTAAATTCATTAATATATCCATATTGTGAAGCATATTTACCAGTAAAATTGATATTGTCGACCACGCCATGTCCGATTATTTGCTCAAACAATTATATTTCCGTTCATATGAAAACCGCACAATGCAGTTTGTCAATCAGTCATGTATTTCCCCTAGTTACCCTCAACTTTCATTCAACTAACGCATTTACTTCCAATAACAGAACAATTCACAGTGTGATATTTCATCCAAATATCAGGCAGACTGTAGCAAATTATTATTTGAAATGAATTGAAATAGGAGAGTTGATGGTAAAGCCAAGAATAGAGAGTTGAAAATGGTAATGTTGAGTGTCTGATTTCACTGTTGACTTGTATATCATCTAGGTCTCGATGTGGAACCGGATGGTATTCGATTGGTAACCTATCAAGTCCGCACGTGGGCAGAGAGACCGCCAGAACCGCAGGCCGCAACACGGGAGTGCAATCGCAGTTAATTTGCTCACTCCAAGTGTGTTTGATTCCCCTAATTAATTGATTGCTAGGGTCACAGTGCAGCGCCAGAGCACATGGATGGTAGTAATCAAGTGTATGCCCTACGCGTTTACGCATACCCGCGGTGTACCTACCTCATATGAAACTACAACATGACCTCTCTCTGCGAATTATGTATCAACACTCAATAAAATATCTCATTTTGTGATACTTCATTAAATCACTTGATTTTTCATTAATCTACCTATATATTTTACAAACAATTATAGTTTACTGAAATTTTCGTTGGATAATTTTAATTAACTATCGACAGAAAATTATTTTAGCTGACCAAATAATTATTATCATCCTGGTTTCATATGCTTTTGCTATAATTTCATAAACCACAAAATTAATTACATGGATTTATTACAATCTCTTATTACTACTAATTGTCTAAAAAATAAATAATAATATTTATTTTTATCATTTCTATTTTAAAATTGTAATATATTTTGCAAAAAAATCAATTTCATTTTTTTATGAATAAGTTGATGAATCAAGACTGAAGAAATTCATTATTTTTCTGAATTTTAATGAATTATAGGTCATTTAAATTGCAGCAAAAAATGTAATAATAATAAAAAAAAGTATATAAACTCACCAAGATGGCCATTTTCATAGTAATCACCGTTGTCCAACCGATGCTTTTTGAGCGAGTGCTGTGGATGACCAGCTGCAGCGGCCAGATGACTTGCTGCAAGACTCAGTCCCATCGAAGCTCTCTTTGGCGGTCTTCCTGGCCTGGAGCTGCACAGTGGTAGAGAGTTACTGTGGTTAGAGACACCCGTCATCGAGGTAACGATTTACCCCGAAACTTCGCGGATTAAGTTGATTACTTGAGCAACAAGAATCAATTTCTTCTCTCTTATTACCCAGTCTTATGTCTTACCTGATGCTCTTATCTTATATAAAAAATTTCATATACTTAAATAACAAATAATATTAAATAATTAAACCATCACCAACATTTTGAGAACGTTTTTTTTTTCCTCTTAAAAGATTCCGATAACAACATGAGTGTTTATAAATAAAAGAAATGAATTTTTTAAGGTCCAAAACGCTAATGGAGATTAATCAACACGTCGTCGAGACTTCAGAGTGTCTCAACCGCATGGGGGAAGAATGAAATACTTTAGGCGGTGGTGAAGTAGGTAGGGATGTCCATTTTTCACAGATACAGGCGCCAGAGAGGCGCACACTTAGTTTGTATTTTTATTTCATTTGTTTTTTAATTTTTTTATTCACACAAATTCTCTCTTCGTACACGCAGAGTAGAGAGAAAGAGAGAGAGAATGGCAACCTATCGTCTGAAACTTCTCTCCTTGGATGTAATACCACGGTCAAGGTTCTCATTTCACTCTCAGTCACGCTCCAAATCCTTCGTTTACATCCTTCGAAACCTTTTTATAATTCTCCGGGTTAAATCATTAGCCCCAAGATTCATTGACTGAAGAAAAATAAAGCAGAGAAATGATTAATGTATTATAAATGGTCGAAATGCTCGAATGTGATTGCTTTCTAGGGCATTTGGAAGACATGAGAACCTGCATTTTGGTAAACGAGCAATCTCATAGTAGTCAGGACAGATTTGTAAATCTAATTTTTCATCCTGTCTTTCTGCCTTCGCCGGCACTCTTCCAAGCCCTCCGATTCTCGTTTGTCTTTTTCTCTCTTTCTCTCACCCCCCTCGAATCGTTTTCTCCTTCTCCTCCCTCATGATTTCTCGCGCGAGATCTCCGGATGATTCTCATAACGCGGTCGGTTATGTGGCGTTGATCTCTTAAACCGCTTAGCTTCAGGTTACACCGAAAACAAGAGCGCACTCAAACGCTTAACTTATCATAAGACTCGATTATTCCGTGCTTTTTTGTATTTTTCGATCGAACTCATATTATTGTTTATTCTTTTATTTTCTTTACAGCTCTGGAAAGCTGATTATTTCACCACTTTAATTTTTTTTCTTATCAGTTAAATAATGTCTTATAAAAAACATCCTTCCAATTTTTTTATTTTTACATCTTTAACTAATTATAAGCAGCTTGAATGAATTTCAACCACAAAGATTCAATTATTTTTATTTATTTCTAAAGGAAACAAAAAATTACAACCCAATAAAAATTATTACTTTTGAATATTTTTAAATAAATATTTTTTTTTAAATACTGTGAGTTAGAATCAATTATAATTTAATTAATGAAACTACACCTAAAGATTTAAAAAAAAAAATATGCACTCAAGAAGGCAATAAAAAAAATAATTTTATTGCAAGTACTGATGTACATCAAATGAAAAGCTACATATTGAAAGCTACGCTGTGCAATATCCAATCATAGCCGAAGCCTCTTTAACCCTTTCAAGAAACTTATAAAAGAGCTATTAAATCCATCGATCATCTGTGAAATTATCCAATCGTGAGTATAAGTAGTAGAAAAAAAAAATTTAACTAACTATTCTACAAATAAATAAATTGATGTTTAACCTTTATAATTATAGCTTACTCCAACAGTTTTTCATGAAAAAAAGTCAGTTAATTAATTGGTGTCATCTTAAGGATAAGTAAATCGTCGATTTAGCATGAAATGAATAGAATAAATGTATTGAATTTGAGGTCAAAAGGTCAAAAATATTATTTTTTTACTCGTCATACTCTACATCATACTTAATTATAATTTCTTTAGCTGCTTGTTGCAATAATTAATCGACAGATATCGATGCTGACTTATCCAATGCAATGATTTGTGCAAATTCAATTTCTTGCAATACTATATGTTACGTAAACGAGATATATTATACAATTATCAATACGGTATGTTATTTAATTTACATTCTTTTCAACACGATTTCCTCACATTTCGAGTGTTTCAATACACGGTATGTAGTTTGTAAAATTTTATCTTTGATTTGAACTGATCGATCCGTTGATCAATTGATATAGAATTGCTACTGTATGCAATCATTTGCATATAAATTTTTTACGAGCCAGGTGCTAAGGTTTATACTTCCATCCACGCCCTGCTAATAAGCCCCACTACTTAAAAGAAGCAGGAATTTAAAAAATGAACATTTATTAAACCTCAAATTACTTTATATTTTTTTTTTAATTCAAAAATAAAATTTAATTCAAACTGTAGAACTAAAAAATTGTTATTTTGATCAGTTCAATTTAAATCAGCTCCATTTTTATAATTTAATGCTCCCTTAAAATCAGATAAAATATCAAGAAGGTTTTACCATTAAATTGTTTAATTTTAACGCTCGATTTACGAGAAATAAATTCCAAAATAAATTTTTTTTACGATCAATTGACTTGAAAAAAAAATGTAATTCTTAAACTGTAAATCATTGATTAACATCAAGGAACCTTTTCTTTAGGAATGAAATAAATTAGAGCTAAAATATTAATTCCAAAATGAAGAGAATGATTTTTCTCAGCAAAATTTAAGGCGAATTTTTTTTTAGTTACAAAGAAAAATAAGTACATTCGCCAGGTTGCAGTTACAAGAGAAAGAATCAAGAACAGTTTCATCGGGCACGAAACATAAGATAATGACCTACCGCCTTGCAGAGACTGGTGAATAATTCATGATAGGCTGCGAAATACATTGCATGGATCGTTAAACTAAGACTGCGACTTTGATGCCTCGTGTGAGAATCATAGAACACTTTGTTTCTTTCCCCATCACAAGTTTAAGTTAAAAAGCCACTGTATTACTTGATATCAGCTGTCATCTATTCAAATAAATCGTCGCTTCTCCTTCTTTAAGTAATAGAGATTTATTGATTAACTTTTTTCCTACTCAGAGCAATCCTACTTCTTCTACTGTTACTCCTACGATGATAAAAAAATGCAAGATCACGAACTAAAGAGCAGTGCATATACCTCACGCTTTCCACGGAAGCGAGCGCGTAATTAAGACAATTAAGCTACTCACTATAAATCACACCATGCTCATCTACTTGGAGGCGATATCAGATTAACGATCTACATGCGTTCCAGTGAACGAACGTATGCGTTACTCCTACTCAATGCACCTCCAGCCTGATTTACGTTCAATTGCTTATGTTTTGAATTTTCCTTCAATTTCCCAACGATCTTAGGCTTTTTAAATGCAACTCCAAGTGTCATCAATCATTTTTATGAACTAGATGACAACGCGGAGGATTGTTCTGCACGAAGAATGTGATGAGATAGGGTAAAGTAATCAAGCTAGAGAACTAGAGTTGGTGTAATGAAATAGGAAAGCTAGAGCAAGACAGAATCAACGCGTTTGGGAGCTACCATAAATTGTCAATTTCCAAGTCAATTTGCCCAGGCTTACCAATCGACTGCCGGTTAATTTCAAGGTGAATTGTGTCCAATATGGGTATATTATTAATGACTCGCCGAGGGATAGGGTGTACAACTTGGCACAGTCGAGGGTTGCTACCCCGTTTTCGCGCATTGCCAAAATCTATCGCTTGAGGCTCCATGCTATAAGAGCTCTTCCGAATATATCATAACACTCATTATTGAGATGAAGTGGTTGACATTGTCATCGGCTCGCAGGATTAATGTCGTCAGGTTATCTTATCGTATTTACGTAGCTTAATTAACATTTCATGAAGTGCATGTTCCATTAGAGGACATTTTATCCGTCTAAAGAATTCTTTTCCCGAAGAATTAAATTAAGCTTTACCTTTAATTGCATGTTTTTTGTGAAAAATTAGTTAACGAGTCATTTCGAAGTTGGTTCGCAATTGAAATAAATCATAATTTGTGTAAAGATTAGTTCAGCCACAACAACTTCAATTAATTATCTTCACCGTTAAATTCGTTGATTCGATCAATTAGAAAGTAAATCGATTTTATCAGTGTTTTTTACTAACTTACACTTGTTAATCAAGTTTTTATTAAATAAATAATCCAACTGAAAAATAAAAAGGAAAAATATCAATTTTTAAAAAAATTATTTGCCAATAAGAATGATAATAAATAATAATTGTTGTTTCAATTAAATAATTGGAATAAATTCATTTCATTTTAAAATGAGAAAAAAAGAATCATACTCTCGTTGATAAAAATAAAATAAAATTCAAAGATTCCCAGCGCCATAAAATTTTTTTTTAATCAACATAAGAGATATAAAAGAAGTCTCTGCTCATATAAGTTTGTATTGCTATAACGTAGACACTCTTTGTATTATCTATGAATTACGAGGATCCTCATCTTATCTCGCGACATCCTGCTGCTACTGTCTTGCGTCTGAGTAAATAATCCACTCAAATATTCTCTAAAGAATAAATAAAAGGCACCACGGAAATTCTTTGTTTACTATATTTATTCATGACTTAACTCAAAATAATATAAGATCCCGGAAGTTTGATAAATTTTTTTTATTAATCTCTCTGTTGAAATATAAAAAAAAAAAAATTATATCCAAAATATATTACAAAATAATATAACGTAATATCCCTCTTTTTCATGGATCATAGAACTTGTCCATCATTTCTAATGTTTCTTTATCTATTTTTCCCCTTGACTCTACATGTTTCCATACATTTTTATGAATGACCTTTTCTCAAGCATCAAGTTTCACATGCTCTTTATTCACCTGGTAAAATGATACATTTTCTATTTTTGGTAATGATCCATTTTTAAATAGATGATAATCTTATTTTTATTTGAAATAATTTATTCATTATTTCAAAGCATCAAATCGAAGAGTTTTCCCACAGAGTCATTTCGAAATTAAAATATTACGAAATTT